GCCTTGAAATGCATGTGTGCATCTTTTCATGCTGTTATAAGATTCTCTTTTGGGTTTTGCTTCTTAAAACTAATTTATAAAGATAATAAAATAGAATTATATTATTATAAATACAAATATTTGTATAAATGTAAAATATATATTTATTTAAATATTTATTGAAGATATATATTTTAAGATGGATTTTTTTAAAAATATATACTTTTTTTATTTGTCGGGCACTGGCTCACCTTATCGCAGAAGATCTTAATCTGACAAACAGCTCTGTGAATGAGGCGGTTGTTCCCTGAGCTGAAATCATACGTGTCGATCTGAAGATTCAGAGGAAAACCTTTGACCCCCTTCTGCGAGGAGAAGTCAGTGCTCAGAGAATTGATGCCAATATGCACCTGTAAAAAACATGAATACATGATACATGAAATCTCAAGAAAACATTTTGGAAATCAGGAAAGGGGGATTTGTTATTTAACTAGATGACACAGTAGTACATTTAGAAAAAAATATATAGAAAAAATATAATTTTCATATAGAAAAAAACAGTCTCAAACAAAAGGAAGGGTCAGGGATGAGAAACATTAGATGTGTCATCTGCAAATATGGTACAATGATTGTTCAATAATTCCAATTCATTTCAAAAGAAAAGGAGTGTCCATATGAAGAACAACATGGCGAGATCCAACATGTTGGAACTGGAGGTAAAACAACAATAAAAAACAATCACCTAAATATGATGATGATTAATGAATAAATGAGTGAACCGGTGCTGATTTCCAAACATTTCTTCCTCGTTCCTCATAGCTGCTGATTCATTTAGCACAACAAGGTTGAATAACAGTTAACAGTTGGAATATTTGAATTCAAATTCTGATTTATAAAATGTATTGTTGCTATATTGCTTGGCAACTGGATATTGTTAGATGCTAGACTAATGAATTATTTTACTTGGTGGAAGAATTGTTTATTCCGATTATTAGCTAAAAAATACGCAACTCTTAAATATGTCTTGTAACATTGCTGTTAATCAATAAAAGTGCGTTACAGTGATTGTATTCTTTCTTTCTGTCTCTGCTCCACCTGCTGTGAGTTTCGTTGTCCCACCCATCACTACCCTGGGGGCATGCTGAAATGTGCCCTATTTCTCTTTCTCTCCTTCCTTGCTTCCTTCCCTCCCTCTTTCTTTCTTTTTTATTCCCTATGATGACAGGTGCCTGAGGAGGCCGCATACCGTAGATACCACTGCTCTCTGACACTCCTCTAAATGATCCTCCTTTCAACCCATCACTTCAACCCCACAAAAACAAGTGACAGGTGGATCTGTGTGTTTGTGCTTGTACCTTTGCTTCTTCATTGGTGTTCCAGATAAAGGAGAGTGCGTTGAAAGCCACCTCTTCCACGTTACTCACTCCACTGAAAACTTCCTTGTAGTCAGCTGAGTGTCAATAAAGAAGAATTTATTCATATAAATTGTATGATATGAAACACACATCAATCAAAACCAAATGACATCTGACTTTAAATCTAATGATGGGTGCGGCCATAGTTACCGGTATATAATAAAAACATTCTTCATTTTCATAATCAGTATTGTCTTGTTTTCCAGAATTCATTCATTCTAATTATGATTATATACCTGATGTTTATGCTTAGATAGAGTGATCGTGAGGAACGCACCGATATCAATGACTCTCTGTTTAACGGTAGGCTGTCGAGCGTG